CTTGGCTCCATAGTCAACAGTCTTGGCACCAGCAGCCAGGAAATTAAAAGGTGCATTGCCATGGGAAAGTCTGCTGTTAGGGACCTCTCGAAAGTGCTGAAGGGCAATGGTATCTCTTATGGTATCTGGAGACTAAGGTGCGCCTGATACAGGCCATGGTCTTTGAAATCAGTTGTTATGCGTCAGAGGGTTGGACAATGACTAGGGAGGATAGAAGGAGAATTGATGCCTTTGAGCTGTGGTGCTGGAGAAGAGTGTTGAATGTACCATAGACTGCTAAGAAAATAAACAGGTTCGTCCAAGAGAGAGTTAAACCGGGCTGCTCCTTGGAGACAAGGATTCTGAGGCTTCATCTGACATACTTTGGACATGTTGCAAGGAAGGACCCTTGGAGAGGGACATCATGCTTGGTAGGTTGGAGGGACAGCGCAGGAGGGGAAGACCCTCTATGAGGTGGATTGATTCAGTGACTGGGGTAATCGGGGTGGGTGTGTCGGAGACAGTGAGGTTGGCACAGGACAGAGCAGGGTTTAGGGCTGTTGTTCATAGGGTCACTATGAGTCACAAGCGACTCGATGGCACATAACAACAACAGTTGTCATTCCAGTTCACCTATATTTTAAAAAGCCAAGTGTGTTCCAGTGCCACTTCCTTGGTCATGATTGAACCAAACAGTCCATTCAAAGTCCTGATCAGTGTAGAGCTGTGTGCCATGCAGTTCCTAATGGCTAAGATCTCAGAAATGGATCGCTGGGCTTTTCTTCTTGGCCATCTCTGAGTGGACTTGAACGTACAACCTCTTGGTTACTGAACTATCCACAGACTCCTTGCTGTATACAGCATCTCATTTAATCCCACCCCAAGCTTATCAGGGATGCGTGGGTCTATTCTTGCCATTTGCAGATGAGTACCCTGAGGCTCGGAGACGTGAAATGAGGTACTGGAGGGCGCACAGCTAGTGGTGAGCTGGCATTCACACCCAGGCCAGCCTGGCTCTGAAGCCCACACACCTTCCCACTGCCTCTCTGCCTTTATGGCTCCATAACTCAGTCAAACTCTCTGTGCCATCAAAGAAGGCAGAATGGGATGGAGAGAACAGGAACAGCTTGCTCCATAGGGGCTTCTGCTTTGGGGGTTGTTTGTATTTGGGAGGAAAGGCTTATTTCAGATTTGGTTTTGTGCTTCAGAATCTCCAAAGCATCTGTCAGCTGTAATAACATCTCCATCTTCCCTTCCTTCCTGCCAGGGCTGCAAAGCTCATTTCTCACAGCTACTCATTTCCCAGATCCACATGAAGCAGGCTACCATTAAGGCACTGGATTCACAGTACGGAACTGTTTCACTTCAGAGGGGAAGGGATCTGTGCCCAGCAAAGTGACAGGTCTGAGGTCATATAAGGAAGCCACAGGAGGATGCCAAGTTCCTGGCTCCCCAGGACACAACTTGGTCCAATTACTCACTGCTGTTCTCTCCAAATAGATTAGATGTTGGCAAACGAGAGAAATCAAATGAAAAGGCTGAAGAGGAAGAAACTGAAACCAAAATGCGAATAATAAGAGATGAGGCGAGGGGACCAGGGACCTGGCGTTTAAACTCGGCTCTACTCAAATTTCCATCTGCACCTCAGGCAGAGCCTGCCAAGCAGAAAAATCTCTTTCTTTAAAGCATTAATTTTGAAAAAGCTAGAAGACAGATTGTGCCTGGTAATAATTGGATGATGCAGACAGACGCTCAGAAGAGCAGGCTTGCAATCAGCATAATCAGTAAAGGGCTTCTATAAACTGAAAGGCGCCAGAGAGTAAACACGCAGGTACTTTGTGTCCATATCTCTCATTCTCACAGCACCTGGCCAGGTAGCACCTGGGTCTGTTGGCTCCATTTCAGAGCTGCTTCCCATTCATTGTGCCACAGCTGATTTCCTCCACAGTCTAGAACACCCCTGCCTGGTACCTTCTCCCCCTTTCTAGAACCATTTCCCAGGCCAAGACCTGAGCCTCACGGAGTTTAATCATTGACCCAAGAGCACACAGCTGGCATGTTACATAGCTGGTTGTGTAAGAAGAAGGATTGAGGGACAAATTTGGACTAAAACTTTTGCATCTCTGACATCACCCCACTGAGCCTCAGTTTCCTTGTCAGTAAAAGGGGGGTGATAATTAAAACAACTCACTCAAGAGTGGATAATGAAACAACACATATGTGATCATGGTATGTAAAGGAGGAGCTGGTGACACAGTGACTATGACCTTGGCTTCTAATCAGAAGTCAGTGGTTCAAATCGCCAGCTCCTTCAAGAGAGAAAAAGAGCTGGCGATCTGCAGCTTTAAACGCTACCACCTAATAAGTCCTGCAGGAAATTCTGCTCTGTTCTATAGAGTCAGAACCGACTCGATGACACAACAAAGTAGCAGGCAGGCATCCTCTGCGGATTGCAAATAATAAACAAGATGCTTCAAGGGAAGCAGACATTAGTTGAGATTTGCCACCGCAGGAGGTAATCTAGCTCCAGGATGTAGATGTTGTTCTTAGAAAGACTGTGTTAGTCCTTAGTCAAAACTCAGAGCATTTGTTGCCTGTCAAGAGTGTGCCAAGCACAAGCTGCTTGGTACACATTCTTCCATCCAGTGCCCCCTTCAAGCCCATGACTCAGGTGTGATTACTAGCATCCCTTTCCAGCCCCCATTGTAGAACGTTTTCTTCCCTCCCCCTCCCTCCACCCACCCCACAATGTACCCCTTGCTCCAGATTGTTGTCATACATATAATGCCCAGTCATGTATGCCTTTCAGACAGTTCTTCCCCTCAACTATTCTAATGTTCGTTATCTATCCACTGTTTTCCCATTCTCTCCTCAACTCTTTCGTGTCTGTCCTATTTTTTAACAGCTGTGATATACATATCATCTGCATTTTAAAGATGGGAAAACTGAAGCATTGAGTGGGAATTAGATATTAAGTTTGTCATCATTGTTGTTGTTCGGTGCCATCGAGTTGAGGATGACCCATAGTGACTCTATGAACAACAGATCTGAACCCTGTCCTATCCTGTGCCATCCTCATACTTCCTGACACATTAGAGCCCATTGGGGCAGTCACCATGTCAATCCCTCTGCTCAAGGATCTTCCTCTCCTACGCCAACCCTCCACTCTTCCCAGGATCATGTCCTTTTCCATGGAGAAGCCCCTCCTAGCAACATGCCCAAAACCTCATCATCTTTGCCTCCAAAGGGCACTCTGGCTGCACTCTCCCCAAGAAATATTTGTTTGCTTGTTTGCCTGTCCATAGGCTGTTCAGCGCTCTTCTCCAGAACCACAGACTGTAAGTGGCAGGACTGGATTCAAGCCCAGCTCATGCTAACCTCAGTCCTGCCTCACTGTGGCTTTGCTTCTCTTCCAGTTTGGTACCCACTGGGTTGTCTACATGACCAAGCCCGATGGCACGTATGTCGTCAGGACCGTGGAGGAGCTGCTGCCAAGCTCTTTCGGGCCCGAGGACCTGCAAAAGATCCAGTGACTGCTGGAGAACGCTCACGGCCTGGGAGAGCCCAAGTGCTTGTCATCTACCCGAAGGGCTTCGTGAAGATGTTCTCACAGACCTCAGGACACCTGACACTCAGGAGGCCTCAACCCTGCAAGGGCTCAACACAGCTGGCTTTGCCAGCGTCCAAGGCTGGGTTCTCTAGGGGTGCGAAATCAGTAAAATGTATGTGTGTGTGTTTATGTATTTACAGAGATTTATTTCAAGGAAATGGCTCATACAGTTGTAGAGGTTGGCAAGTCCCAAGTCCATGGGTCAGGCATCAGACTGGAAACTTTTCCTGACTTGAGTGGTTACAGGGCCTGATGAGCCAAAAAAATCACCAGGTCAGAGAGTAGCCTGCTGGCTCACATCCAAGAACCAGAGGTCAGAGGGTGAGGAGCCAGACACTGGGTCAGAAAAGCGTGAGCTTTGCCAGAACTCGTGTACATGTTAGACGCAGATCACAATCCCAAGGAAATTGGTTGACTGTCAATTGTTTGGCCTTCAACAAATAGGGAGCTCACATGGTTATATTATATATCACTATGGAAGCACCACCAGCCCAAGTCTGAAAACCACTGAGAGAAGACCCAGCCTAGCGGAAAAGGCACACAGCATTCACCCTCACAGCCACGTTACACTCAGGTGCCATGTCTTTTATGAGACAGAGTCTCACCTCAACTCAAGCCAGGCCCTCCTCCCTGACCTCAAAGTACCTCTTCCTTTCTACTCTTGCCTTCTTTTGGGTCTCTTTTAAAATTCAGGCCAAGTCTGGGCTGCTTCCCCACTAGCCTTCCCAAGGTTCCATCCTGTTCCAAGTGACTTTTCTAATTATAAACTTCCCAGAACATCCTGAGTCAGAAGAGCACATTTCACCCTCGTCTCATCGCATGCAGTTCTTAGGGGAGACAGGTGATTTATCTTTACACAAAGACCTGGACACTTTCTCTGGGAGAGGAAATGGGTGTCTTGGGGCTGCGTGTCCTTCAGTGTGGAGAACCAAACTCTGAGGCCTCTTGCCCCAGGTGTTCTCCAGGTGGGGGCCCTTTGGACTGACTCTCGGTGCCAGTTGCCACGGATTACATCTGAGTCCTGACTCAGCTGTCAGCTTGATCACTGAGCACCATTCACGCCCAGGATCCATTGCACAGATCATGGAACAGTGTTTTTTTGGGATCTGCTATGGGTCAAATGCTTTTGCTTATGTTCTTTTATTATAAAGTGTTCTGTGGATCAAAGCATGACCCTCCAAACCTAAGCCTTGTACCTGTGATAGAATCTTGTTTGGAAACAGGGTTTACCTTTCATGTTAATGAGTCCCTGTGAGTGTTGAGTGTGTCCTAAACCACATTACTTTTGAGTTATAAAGGGGGCAGATTAGACAAAGGAATGAGTGCGTGCTGGGGAGGTGTGGGGGATGGAGGAGTGGAATAATGCCCTGACTCTAAACGAGTCAGAGGGCCTCTTCTAGAGCCGCACCCTGAGTTCTGACTTCTATCCTCTTGAACTGTGAAAAATAAATTTCTGTGCTTCAAAGTCACTCTTTTGTGATATTTCTGTTACACCAGCATTAGATGGCTAAGGCAGCAAGCATCTCCTCATTGTTACAGATAAAGGAGCAGTCTTCACAGAGGCAGAGGAACTTGCTCTAGGATTTGGGCAAAGTTCAGAACAGAATATAGGTCCTCTAGTACCAGAGGAATGTCTATCTGTGTTTCGTTGACTACATAAAGGCATTTGACTCTGTGGATCACAACAAATTGTGACTAACCTTGAGAAGAATGGGAATCCCAGAACACTTAATTGTGTTGTGGATCACAACAAATTGTGATTAACCTTGAGAAGAATGGGAATCCCAGAACACTTAATTGTGCTCTTGTGAAACCTATACTTAGACCAGGAGGTCATCATCCAAACAGATCAGGGAAACACTGCATGGTTCAAAATTAGGAAAGGTGTACACAAGATATGCATCCTATCTCTGTACACTTTAAGTCTGTGTGGAACAGATCATCCAGGAGGCTGGACTCTCTGAGGAGGAAAGTGGCATCAGGTTAGAAGGAAGACTCATCAACCTATGTTATGCAGATAACACAACCTTGCTTGCTGAAAGAGAGGAGAACCTGAGGCATTTGCTGCAAAAGGTTAAGGACTGTAGTCTTCAATATGGATTGAAGTTCAACATCAAGAAATCAAGATTGTCACCACTGTCATTGGCAGCATCATGATAGATGGAGAAGAGATTGAGATTGTTAACAGCTTCAGCCTGCTCAGTTCCACAATCCACACTCTTGGCACCAACAGTCAGGAAAGCAAAGGATGAATTGCATTGGGAAAATCTGCTGTCAAGGACCTCTCCAGAGTGTTGAAGAGCAATGATATCAGTCTAGAGACTAAGGTGCCCCCAATTTAAGGCATCATCTTCACAATTACTTACCATGCATCAAAAAGCTGGACAATGACTAAGGATAATGAAGAAGAATCAATGCCTTTGAGTTGTAGTACTAAAGAAGAGTATTTGACATACCATGGACTGCTAAGAAAACAAACAGGTATATCCTAGAGAGCATGAAACTGAGCTACTCCTTGGAGGCAAGGGTTTTGAGGCTCCACCTCACATACATTGAGCATATTTCCAGGAGGGACCAGTCCTTGGGAAAGGTGGAAGGACAGTTCAAGAGAAGAAGACCCTGGATAAGATGGATTGACTCAGTAACTGGGATAATGGGGGTAGGTGTGTCAGAGACAGTAAGATTGATTCAGGATCAGGCAGAGTTCAGAGCTATTGTACATAGTGTCCCTAAGAGTCATAGGCAACTCGACAACACATGACAACAGCAATAACAATGCCCCTGAGAGCAATGATGTCAATTTAAACACTAAGGTGCGCCTGACTCAAGTCATGGTCTTTTCAATCACTTGCTATGCATCTGAATGCTGGAAAATGAATAAGGAAGGATAACAGAAGAAAACTGAATATCTCATGGACTGCCAAAGAAAAAAATAAATCTATCTTTGAGAAAGTACAAACAGAGTACAGGCAAGGATCGTAAAGCTTCCTCTTATATACTTTGGGCATGTTGTCAGGAAGGGCCAGTCCTTAGAAATGAACATCATGCTTGGAAAGGTGGAGGAAGACCCTCAACCAGATAGATTGACACAGTGACTGCAGCAATGGACTCAAGTATGTCAGAAACAATGAGGATGGCACAGGATAGGAAAAGGTTCAGATCTGTTGTTCCTATGGTCACTATGGGCTGTAGTCAACTCGACATAACAACATCAGCTATAGGGAGCTCTGATAGTGTCGTCCATAGAGAGTTGCACTGCTAACCCAAAGCCCTCATCGCAATCTCCCATGCACTTTGCAGCTTTGGAACCCACTGAGGGGCAGCTGTCAGTCACTTCTGACTCAGTTGCAGTGAACTGAGTTAAACTCCCCCTATTGGCTGCAGACAGAACCCATTTAGCTGCTGTCACATAGACTGGATTCCCACATGACAACTCCATGTGTGCAGAGAAGAACTGCTCTGTCAGACCTTCAAGGTTGTGTCCTTTTAGAAGCAGATCAGCAGCAGGCTTATCTTTTGAGACACCTTTGAGTGGATTTGAACCACCAACCTTTTGGCTAGTAGTCAGGCATTTAATTCTATGCACCACCCAGGAAATCTGCTACTACTTAATGTATAGGGAGTGCTGGTGGCTGAGTGGTAAGGAGTTGCACTGCCAACCCAAAGCCATGTGGTTAGAATCCACCAGCTGCTCTGTGAGAGGAAGAGGGATGCCCTCCTCCTGTGTGATTTACTACTTCTGAAAACCCACTGGATGGTTTGCTATGAGTTGGTTTCAGTTTGCTAGTACATAACAGCAACAATTACTTATTGTTAGTTCTTTGCAATGCACCATGCTAAGGTGTGATGAGGCCAAAAATAGTCATCACTTATCCAAACTGAAAGGTAAGTATTACTGCCCTCACTTTACAGAAAAAGGAAATGAAAAGGCAGAGAGGTCGATTCACTGAGCCAAAGTCACACAGTGGTAGAGACGGAATTTGAACCAGGTTTGTTTGATTGTAAGTTGGTTTTTTGTTTGGAATTTTGGTTTGATATTTTCCCCATTCTCTCACAACTGAGAATAGGCCCCCTCTAGTCACTGAATCCACTGCTGTTGTGGCAATCCCACTCCTATGTAGCCTAGCCCAGAGGGTTCCCAAGATTGCAGTCTTCACAGAAGCTGACTACCACATCTTCCCATGGAGGGGCTGGTGGGTGCAAACCAGTAATCTTTTGGTGAGTGTTGAGCTTTTTAACCACTGCCCCACTGGCTATCTTATTTACTGAGTATCATTTACATAAGAAGCCCTGATAGTACAATACTGGAGCTCTGGCAACACAGAAGGTAAGGAGTTATGCCGTCAACCCAAAGGCGGGTTGTTCAAATTCACCTGTCACTCTGAAGGACAAAGATTGACAGTCTCCTCCTCCTCTAAAAAGCCGCTGGAGGTTCAGCTTTGTCAGCTCTTAATTAGTTTCCACTCGATGGCAATGAGTTTCCAGTGAGATAGTGTAATCCACAGGAAAAAGACAGGCAGTCTCTTCTCGTTAGGGTGTCCAGCCTCAGAAACCCAACAGAGCTGAGTTGGAATCCGTGTGGCGGTAATGAATTCGAGTTTGGGTACCACAACAGTTAAGAACTTGGCTGTTAACCCTAAGGCTGGCAGTGTGAACCCACTCAGAGGCCCCACAGGAGAAAGACAGCAGTTGGCTTCTGTAAAGATCACAGCCAAGAACTCTGGGGCAGTTCTCCTGGGTCACATGGGCTTGCCATGAATTGGAACTGAGTCAGTGGCACCAAATAGCATCTTTTCTATGTGAAATACTCAGAGGGAACAGTGCATGACAGTCTCTGTCCTTGAGGAACTCACAATCTGACAGGAGAGGGATGTGTAAGCACGTCTAATGCAGAGAAATATACACTGATTCGGGCGGGTACGG